ACGACCAGGCAATATGTGCTTCACTTCATGTGCAAGGCCGATGGGCAAAACATATAGACCTCGTTCGTTTCGGCCTAATTGATACTCAGTCCTCGTGCGCTGCCACATGTTCTGTCGATCCTGCGAGCAAATAAATTCACATGAAAAATCGATAAGTCGCCTTAGTTGTCATACAATGCAACAAATGTCTCCGCGAACGGTACACCACAGTCCTATTGCGGATATACGTAGTTGAATCTGGTTTGAGTGACTAACGAATAAATATGCCTTTGTGGATACTGCTTCAGTATCTGGTATAGTGTGATATTTGTGCTGAACGGGAATATTACAAAAAAGCTTGTGTACTCCAAACTAACGAAACAGTCCCATGATATATCCACACGCGTGTGTGTTTGCTTGTGTATGTGTGTGTGCGTCTGCGCGGAATATTGAATCCCACGTGCGACATTTGTGCTCGTTACGCCTCACGTCTGGGTCCGTGTTAGTGATACAATGACTAATCAAGCGATGGGAACATACACGATGGCGACTGCAAAGCCTTGTGACTAAGTGCATCAGGTTTTCACGTCTAAAGTTGGGCGTTGCTTTACAAAGGAATAGACCGTTTTTTCTTTATCGTGGACTGTCTAACTGACTAATGATGAGATTTATGATGCGCTGACTCAGCCAGAACAGATTCTGGTTTGACTTGATTGTGGCGCCTAACCACGAAAAACAAGCTTCTCTACTGATCGTGGACTGTCGCCATCAATTACCATCAATACATGATGATAAGCTCCACCCCACCCGTTCCTGGAAGTGACTCCGCTTCAATGAGCCACACGAAAATAGCTGGCATAAGAGAGAGTGGTTCTAGTGGGAATATGATCGAGTTTCCAGTTGAAGACTGGAGTATTTCGTGAATGATAATCTACCGTTTTGCATTCATTCCCTAAGATCGCCCATGCGCAAACACCACGCATCTCACGCAAGCAATTCTTTTAATTGCACTTCGGTAGGCACCGTACGGCCTAACTTGGCTGAGCCGATAGCATACATGGCCTGTTATTACACATATTCGACACTTGCTTTCTTTAATACCAATACAAAGGAGTAATTTTGAACCGTGCGCGTATTGTATTGACGTTTACAACAATGTTAGTTAGTCGGTGAAATTCTGAATATAAAACAGTGTACCATCAAGTTCGGAATGCTAATAACTGTTTTTTACAACGAAATCATGGTCTGCTTCGGGCATTCAGTATGCCAACACAAATCTTTGAAAACCTGGGATAGTCACAAAGCTCAAATATGAGGATGTCTTTGATTTGTTGAGGAAATCCTCAAACCCCGAAGGTTTCCTTTTTGGCCTGACAAACTGATGCGTGTATTACAGTACACCTCTTCATAAGGGCATTCACTTTCACCTCACAGATTAGGCTCGAATTCTTTTTTTCTGATTTTAATAAACTGTGTTTTGATCGGCTGTAAAATGTCACCTTTTGGAATTCACTGAACTGTATCTTTGATTTTGGCTTGTTGCATTCAGTTGTTATGGTCTCGTCACTGTTGACAGTGACATAACAAGAGCGACACAGTTTTTCACCACGGTATTAGTAGGTAGTAGTCGAAGTGGTAGTAATAGCAATCTAAGTGTTCATTTTGCATGATGAATCTTGAGACGTAGTGATTTCTGATAATTATAATAATCTGTTTTTGGCTCAAGTGAATTTGAATAGACATTGTTGCTGTCTCACCACATTTAGTAGGTTGAAAGAACTGCCTGACAACGAAAAATGGGGTGATTTACCAGTTTATTCCTACGTGTTCGTTGCATGTCACTCGGAAATGTGCTTCTGTACGGAATGGTAGAGCTTACGTAAACCTGATTTCATAAATCTTCAGGGTTCGTTAGGATTTCGGAAAGATGATCACAGAGAAGAGACGTTGTTCGCTTAAGTTCACATCTGTTGGTTTGTCAATGACCATCTCTTTCGAAAAATCACGAGACGATTATAGCGTGGCAATTGCCGTATACTCTTCTACTGTTTCAATGAATAAAATCTTGGGTACGGAACATGTTTTCAAATTTAAACGAAGACGGACTTGCGATTGGTTTGACGTTTGCCCATTTATTTGGCAAGACGAGCGTAAAGGGTATATCATGTTCCTATGTACACTGTTCACTAGTCTTCCGAAAAACAGTTCTTTCCGGTCATACACATTTTTCGGAACATTACCACGAAATACATTTTGCAAAAGATTCTGGGTGCATACCAGTCACCTAATCTCACAGTGATATGCCTAAGGAAATATCTTTTAATTTAGGTGCCACTTTTAGACGCTGCCAGTCAGGAATTTTAGTAGTGGGAGTACGTAAGTGAAATCCAATTTACTAGCATCAGAGATGAATGGAGCTAGGGGAATGGGTGGGTAGAAAAATTATTTTGATTGCATCACGAATTCCATAGTTATATACCAAATACAAACGTGTCAATTCCACGCAGCGCAATGAGGCAGTCAACATTTGGACGTAGCAATAGTTGGATTATGGGTGGGACACGAGCGACATTGGCTTAGTTCTTGGTCAACATTTCGGGCTGCATCTGATTGCGTGGAAAACACTGCTTTGGTCAGCTGGTAAAATAAACGGAAATATGTTGAAAATTGGACGATATTATTCCAGCATTTGGATCAACTGATATCAGCCACACTGTCGTCTGTCTTCGGTGTTTAGACGGCCCTGGTTTCAAAACAGAAATGTGTGCTCTAAAAATAATAACTATTGTCGTTGATCGAGCACACTTTATTGGATGATTTTATAATGGTTGTTGAGTAACTTCTATCAGTTGCATAGCTGATTTAAAAGTTTTATAAAGTATTTTGAAAAAGTCCTAAAAATGGCCTTAACTTATCTGAGTATTTTGATGAAACAGGCTGGAAAAGTTGATTTTATACGGTAAGCTTCAAATATTTCAAATGTTATGGGTCAGAAAATTTGTGACTAGCATCCGTCTCGTCGTTCTTTCACTCAGAATGTATTACGGAAAATTAGAACTTTCAGACAAGTAGAATGGAAGTCGTTTAAAATCCTTCGAAAATTTATAAGATCAAAACAACTGTAGCTTTTCTAGCAAGATTGATTCATCATCCTCATAACTCATTCAAGTTCATTTAAAATCCCAGAGCCTGCCTGAAACTGGAGCATAATTGCCCCTGCATTCATCCTTCATTCATCTTAACAGTCACTGTCCAAAACCCAGAAATTACCGTGAGAACGAATTGTGCTCTGTACCAGATGAAATAAAACATAAATGAATGGTTGTATTTGGACAGAAAGAAGAGTATGGCTGTGCACGCAAATGTGCACCAGTACATAAAATCCGTACACTTGCAGACGTGTTTTCAGTTCTGATCACTGACTTTCAGTATCCTGCTTAATGAAGATGTTTCCGACTGAACATATTTTTGGCGGGTAAAACGTATTCGTGTCAAATTGAGAGGGTTATTTATTTGTAATTATTCCAACTGAAGTCAATGTATTGAGTATGGGTGGATAATTAGTTCGAAAGTTGTTCACTACATGAAAGGTCATTAAACTGAATATCTTATTCACTTATCTGCGATACACCGACTTCTCTTGTTGTGTTTGGATAGTAGTTTGGGCTTTGTCTATTAGTCAGGAGTTAGAGGTGTTTGAGTGCTTTCAGGAACCTTTTCATTATTATTCAAAGCTAAACCCGATCAATAGCGTTTAGTTCTTATGCTGCACAACCTAGGCATTTTTTTGGACATCAAAATAAACCTCCAGGGAAAATCAGGATCATAATATCCTACTGAAGTGATGATTTATCTGTCGCCAGTTGGTAATGAAAAGTTCTTCTATGTACATCAAATATTAGAACTCTACTTTTATCATACGCCGGCACAACGTCTCAGTTCATAAGTGACATGCACCTACTATGTTGGTGACACCGCATCCCGAGGTCGCGTACCGTTCCTACCTGTTCCACGGGAGTGACGTACTTTTCTCCGACCAAAATATCTAATATTTAGCTGTCCACACAGTCCCAATGCCTTTCACTCAATAACACGGAAAAGAAAATAGAATTTTCATCAAATGGGCCAGAATTCTCATTATTATTCAATTGCTTGAATAGGCTTCCAAAGTTTGGGAAATCTGTGTTAATTAAAAATGAATAATGGTATTCTTTCTAGATAGTAATTGAAAGTAAAAGGTAAGGAATGAGGTGTTTTCCAGAATTTGTTAGTCCTCAATGGCTAGCATAACGTCAGTAACAAAGCCGTTTAACACACTACATGTCGTTTCTTTTCTTCGATACAATCAGGACCCAGTTAGGTCGCGACATTTGTTAATTCTATTATAAATTACTAGAAAAGTGAACACGAAAACAAATATTCTAGTTGCTCAATATGGTTTTAGTTGTCCTCAGTTTACTAAGAACTCTCATAACCAACCTCCAGTTAGTCCTTATTGAAACATTTGGTTGAGCTGAGATCACCAACTAAAACAACAAGTACATGACAACATCACGAACAACCGCTCACGCCATTGACATATATCTGGGAAACAGCGTTTGAGGGCCAACGTTGCACCGATTTTCTCTTATGTGGCTCAGCTGTGCGCAGACATGTAACTTATATGAAATATAAACTACCTCCGCCCCCAAATGTAGTGGATGAATCTGTTTACTTATATCGTCTTCTAATCTATGGCTCCTTGCCTGAACGAGTATTCTAGAACAGCAGAAACCTGAGGTTGGCACTAACGTTTCAGATACGTGAATGCCGGATATCTTCTACTGGGAATTAGATATTCAAATTGGCCAATCAAAGAAAGTGGAGAATGATTAGTATGACAAACACAGGAATGACATGACAACTGCTTTAAACCAATAGAACCACATGTAATTCAAGTGCATACAGTATAAAAGCGAGAGAATAAGCCTAGCAAAGAAAACAAAATGAGAATCATCATTTTCTTGATTGTGATACTGTGCATGCTGCGCTCACGGAACGCAGGTAAGTGAGATTGAAAATGGCTATACATACTAGACGACCCATACTTACAAACGGAATAGAATATCCAGCAAATATTATTTATTATTTCTGTATCACGCATAACAGGTCGGTTTATTTTAGCAGTGTAATAAATTTTCGTCTTTGGTTAAATGGACGTTTCATTGTTATAAAGTTATCAGGTTTATTCGTTTTCAGTAAGCCCATTTCCCCAATGTCCTCCCATTAGGTATAATCGTACGTTTGAGATGGGAGGCAATGTCTACCAAATATCTAAGCCAAAGATTCGTTCATTTTCACGAATTGACGGGGAAAAAATGCTGGATCTTTCGCCTTCTTTTGAAAACACAGAGCTAAAGATTTATCACCTATAGGAAACCCCGAGCGGATTAGGAACAACAAAAATCACCTTCTCGAGATAAAATAGATGTAATTCATTGCAATTACTTTAAACTCCATATCTTGTTTGTCAGTTTTTCAACGAAGTACTAGTGTTTCATTGCACTAAGGATATTTCTGATGGAAAAAAACTCTTGAGATCAAATCTCCTAATGATACTATTGTGAACCAGACAACAGCTTCAAGCTGACTTGACGCAGGTGGGATACGTTGGGTCGTGCAAACTCACAACAACGTTAAGAAATGTCAGCGGTAAACAATATTAGTCTGTAAAAAATAACTCTTTCTTTGGACTGAGTGAACTGGTACTATCGGAAATGTTGCATACGGTTGTCTGATAAACAAGTTTCATTCTCGATCATGACAGCAATGAAGCAGAGATACACAATTTTGTATCAACCATTAGCAGGATGTAGTAATGTTGTTTATTGACAATAAATCTTATGGTTGTATTTTGCTGCATGCATTGTCTTACGTGGGAGTTGCCCGTGTACGGCCTGCAAAACAAGGAAGGAGAATCGTTGAGCCGGAGCTCGGTAAGGGCATTAGCAAGCACTAACGCAAGCACCGATAAAGATGAGCGAGACGATCTGTCTGGGCGCACGACAGTGGTTTGCCTGTATACTTTAAACAAATGCAGATAAAATCCCACTTCCGTTAACAACAGTCGATTTCAACTATGAAGGAATATGTGCCTCCAAGAAAAACGAGACCGGATACGTCTACTCAGAATCAACCCAAACGGTAATAAGAACACAACTTCGATTTAGAGTACTGAACACTTGGTGTGCCTTTATTCTCTAGGATTCTTCACGGTTTCATCAGCAAAGAGTTCACCATGTTAGCGAGGAAATCATCTTATGTAATAAGCTCCATCACCTGTTGCAATTTTTATTTTTGGTATAGGTAGCCATTTGGGTATTGCCTTCAAAACAGATAACATTTTATAAATTATTTTGAGTCTGCTCCCTGAGGGTGTAATCTTTTGAACTGGTCTTTTAAGTTACTCATAATTTCACTAGTGAACAAGGAACAAACAACCCAGTCGACATGAATATATCTACAAACCTGTAATGAAAAGTAATACAGGGCATTATCCTGAAACATTATTACCTACACTGACTATATATTTTGCTGAATTCCAGGATATTTACAGCCATAACGATGAGGACTTTTCCACTATTCGAGGGGTTGCCAATTCAAGATCAACAACAGAATCAGGCTTGTTTTATTCCGATCCAAATCAATAGTGTTATCGGTATGAGATTTTGTTATTTGCGGGTTAATATTTCAGGGGAAACTCTCAAGCCAAATGAATCGTTCTGAGCAATAGCCACCATACGAAACATCAATATAGGAAAAACTCATCTCTCAAATGACCAGCTTCGATATTCGAGCCCTTTGATGAAGTCAATACGTGCCCCCCTTTGTTAAGTTTGCATCTTCCATGTCGTGTGCCACTGGATACACTTAAAATTGCTGCTAACTTGTCTAAGTAGAACTGAGTGTAACCGGGAATATTCTCACCCTGGATAAAGGACAGGGATTCAAGAAACTGCTTATTTTTTAGATCAGAGCGCATTGATTCGCCCTATCCATTCAATGTGCTAGATCATCCACCTCTGAAATGTGTACCTGTGGGAAGTTTCCTTAGATTCGCTCTATCATTTGTGCACTTAATCAGATGAAAACTTGGGAGAAATTCCATCACAGGTTCAAAAATACGATTTTGTAATTCCTCTACGGTCCTTTTGATGAGACTGCCAAGAAAAGTTTTTCTCATAGATATTTCCTTCGCTATCGCGATGAAATTATAAACAATCAACTAAGCTGACCCAAATGACTTTGACATCGACAACGATATAGATACAGGGTGAAGGGTGCCGTTACAAATAACTATAAACTCCGTGTTAAAGTATATTGGAACAAAGCTTGAAGTGAAATCTCGGAATGGCAAACGAATTTCTCATAATAATACCATCCACGCGAACAAAAATGCACTAGGAAAAAAGGCTAACAAGCAAAAAATTTGGTGGAAAAAAATATATGAAAACATTGAAGGGAAAACATTAGTTGAGCAATGATTTCAACCACAGGTAATGATTAGTCCAAAAGGAGCCAAAGATTTTGATTAACAACAAAATTTAATGTACGAAAAAAAGATAAAACAAAACCTAAAATCGGAACTGATAACAGAAAACGATAGCGAAGATGACACAAAGGAGATAGGCAAAGATAAGTATCAAAATAGGAAAGCAATAAATACCCATGGAAAAATGAGAGAAAGGAAACAAAAGGCAGAAAAATACAATGAGTTCAAATAAGAAAAGAACTACATGCATAAGCGCTAAAAAAAGAATGAAAAATTAAACTGTGCCAGTCGATAAGAGAGAACTGATTCGCCCTCTTCTTATCATATAACGTTAATCTACTCAAATACGACGCTTATTATTATATGCTTGTTCTCATTCGATTGGATACATCAATCAGTGTACATTGTTCGTTTCTCATCTTTCTTGATTGCAGATCCACAGAAAACGGAAGACGGTGAGCTGTGTTATTGATCATGTTGCAGTTTGGTCTTGTTCATTTGTTTTTAGCATGATTCACTTGACGGACGGTGTGGAACAATGAGGATCATGCTGCTCTGTTCTCTTCCCAATTTGATTCGTCTCTTTGCTACAACAAGCAATTCACATTTGGCTACTTCACTGTGTGCAGTAGACGAACAATTTCCCAATTGGTCTCTTTATCCACACTGATTTGCTAACGCAAATAAACACGATCCGGTTGGACATTCTAATTGAAAATGACAAACGAATTGGGGGCACTGGAAATTAGTCTCTCATATGTTCCCATTAGATAGATCTAAGCACTCGAATGATTTGATCATCAAAACACAAATCAAACATATGCTATCTTGCCAACTATTCCAACTGACCCGTAGAAATGAGTTTCCTGACCAATAGAACATTCATTCATTCATTCATTCATTCATTCATTCATTCATTCATTCATTCATTCATTCATTCATTCATTCATTCATTCATTCATTCATTCATCCATTCATTGTTTCATTCATTCATTCGTTTATTCATCTGTTGCGCATCAAATGATTCAATATAGGAGATGAACACTCAACTGACCAATGAACAGTATATGAGCACTGTGTACACGTGTTTGATCTCACTCACTTGTTCGGAATAAGGAGAAGTGCATATTGACCGACTGCTTACTCGCATCCCAACACGAATTGAACAATTCTCAGTCTGATCGGCCTCTTCCACGTGAACAATACATGAATGAATAAGAACTCATAATGATCCATGTGATTTCCCAGTCCCAATTCAGAATGGTCAAATATGGACTACTGATCGACTCACAACAGTCCACATAGAAACAATTTGTACTGATATCACTTGAACATATTTCGAAACAAACTACACAAAATAGCAAAGCGGAATAGTCACACCTGTTTCGCAATGCAACAAACGAACAGACAACCAAACAAAGCATATTGAATTGTCCAATTCACCCAACTGTTCGCATTTGTGCACAAACGATTTCACACTTCAACTGTGCCAGTCGACAAGAGAGAACTGATTCGCCCTCTTCTTATCATATAACGTTACTCTACTCAAATACGACGCTTATTATTATATGCTTGTTCTCATTCGATTGGATACATCAATCAGTGTACATTGTTCGTTTCTCATCTGTCTTGATTGCAGATCCACAGAAAACGGAAGACGGTGAGCTGTGTTATTGATCATGTTGCAGTTTGGTCTTGTTCATTTGTTTTTAGCATGATTCACTTGACGGACGGTGTGGAACAATGAGGATCATGCTGCTCTGTTCTCTTCCCAATTTGATTCGTCTCTTTGCTACAACAAGCAATTCACATTTGGCTACTTCACTGTGTGCAGTAGACGAACAATTTCCCAATTGGTCTCTTTATCCACACTGATTTGCTAACGCAAATAAACACGATCCGGTTGGACATTCTAATTGAAAATGACAAACGAATTGGGGGCACTGGAAATTAGTCTCTCATATGTTCCCATCAGATAGATCTAAGCACTCGAATGATTTGATCATCAAAACACAAATCAAACATATGCTATCTTGCCAACTATTCCAACTGACCCGAAGAAATGAGTTTCCTGACCAATAGAACATTCATTCATTCATTCATTCATTCATTCATTCATTCATTCATTCATTCATTCATTCATTCATTCATTCATTCATTCATCCATTCATTGTTTCATTCATTCATTCGTTTGTTCATCTGTTGCGCATCAAATGATTCAATATAGGAGATGAACACTCAACTGACCAATGAACAGTATATGAGCACTGTGTACACGTGTTTGATCTCACTCACTTGTTCGGAATAAGGAGAAGTGCATATTGACCGACTGCTTACTCGCATCCCAACACGAATTGAACGATTCTCAGTCTGATCGGCCTCTTCCACGTGAACAATACATGAATGAATAAGAACTCATAATGATCCATGTGATTTCCCAGTCCCAATTCAGAATGGTCAAATATGGACTACTGATCGACTCACAACAGTCCACATAGAAACAATTTGTACT